CCTCCGCCTCAGGGCACGCCGCCCAAGGCCAAGGACGGCCCCGGAGGGAGCGCGGGAGGCAGCGGCGGCAGCGGGAACAGCCGCCTGGAGAAGGCCAAGCAACGGGCGGCCCAGCAGGAGCTGAAGCAGCGCCAGAGAGCCGAGGTGGGCGGGGGCTACGAAGAGGAGGAGGAGGAGGGGAACTGGCCACGCCCACCGGCGGCCTGGCCACGCCCACACGGCCTGACCGGCGGGACTCCCTGCCACCCGGTGGTCACCGCACCTCCGACCGGGCTTCTCTGAGACCCCCCGTTTTCATTCCCTCATGATTTTAACAAGGAATTAAACAGCAACAAAAAAAAGATGCCAGTCATCCCCCCTGCAAAAAAAAACAAAAAAAAAGGAACGAAGAAAAGTTACCTTTTTGCACTAGAATTCCCAGAATTAATATGGCTTCTGAGATTTGTGGGCTGGTGTTTTTTTTTTTTTTTAAGCCAAACAGAGCTACGGCCAACCCATTTTCCAAGTCATCCCATTTTCCAAGCATCGGCTGAGGCCGTCTGTTGGGAAGATCAACGACATGGCTTTGCCCTTGTTTACTCACCCAGCGCCCTGTGTGTCACTCCAGTCACAACATCACGCTGTTCCAGGTGCCTCCCCCTCCCCCAGTTCCCTGGCTGTGTTTCTAAAGGTGGGCTCAGCTCAATCCACTGGGAAGACTCAGAGCTCAGATGGGGAAATCGGCATCATGGGCCAGAAGTCTGTGCTTTTTCAAAAAAAAAAAAAAAGATGGATAAAGTTGATGTGGGAATACAACTCCCATGTGCCCCAGCCTCCCCATCCAGGGGTGAGGAAAAGTGGGAGTGGAGGAGCCCCGAGAGCAGCCTAGCCCTGCCTTTAAAAGGGCCAGGCAGAGCCACAGGGGGACCCACGGCCGCCTGGAGGAGCCGAGAGGGCACCCGCCTCCCTCCAGGGGGTTGGCAGGGCTTTTTCCCTCCAAGCCCACGGCCTTCTCTCCCTGGGTGGGCACGCTTTGTGGCTCTATGGCACCTGAGACCGCCAGGTGAGCTTTTACAGGACAAAACTGGGATAACAGGCGTATGATATCTCTATCTGGGACCCCTTATTGCAGGGCAGGAATCAACAACTCATTAGCTCTTTAGATTTGGGGCTGTCATGTGGATCATCCCATGTACGTACGCATGCCAGCCTTTGCCCTGGTTGTGCCCCTGCGCCAGCTGGGACGCTGTGCCTCAGACCACATCAGCCTTTATGGGCACATTTAGCAGATTCCCTAATCTCCATCTCTGGATAATTTGGGGGGGGGACCAAAAACCATGAATGTTGCCCTCAGGCCTCATCCAGAGGTTTATTTGCATTCACCCAGATGGCTTTCTGAGGGGGTTTAGAGGCCGGAGAAGCGGAGCTGCCATTTCTGATCGTGGGGCGGTGGCGGATCTTGCTTTTGTAATCCCCGGACGTCTCCTTTGCCACACAGATCTATGCCCTCAATCGTGTCATGACAGAACTGGAGCAGCAGCAGTTCGATGCCTTCTGCAAGCAGATGCAGGCTTCCGGCGAGTGAGCGCTCCTGCGGGCCGCCCTGGACGGGAAGTTGTTTTCTCCAGAGGGACTTTTCGGGACGGTGACTGGAGCTTTCCCCACGGTTGGACCAGAGAGCTGTAAGTGGGGAGGGGGCAGGCAGCCTTTGCCTTTTGACCCCCCCAGGACCGGCAGACTCTGCTCTTTGCCTCTGAGCCACAACCGGAGGCTCCCCCTGCATCCAGGCACCCACCTCTGGCAAATCCTATCCCCTGGTCTTTTCGCCAGTCCTTTGCTCCAATGGGAGAGTCTCTCGCCTTGTTTTCACACGTTGTCCTATTTATGGATATGTTGGTTTGACAAGTGAAGGGATTTTGAGGAAATGTTAATAAAAGTGTGCTGTGTGCTATGTTGAGAACTTCCTCAACCTAGTGAATTCCGAGGGGGGGCAGGGGGATGTCTGCGACCCTGGGTGAAAAGGGTGGTTTAAAATCTTACTAGTCCCCGGTTGGGATGGTCAGACTGAATGTGTAGGGATATATTCTCTAGGCTGGAAACTGGTTGGTTTAACATAAAAGAGGAACACCAGGGTGAAAGAAGACTGAAGTACTATAGAGTAAGAACAGGAGGGGTGGGATGGCTTAGAAGGGCGGTGCTGAATAAGTCTTACATCACAGTGCTGCTCCTAAAAGCATAAATGCCTTCAAGGACCCCTTACTTTTTTGCCCATGGAACACTTGGCAGTCAGGTACTCTGCACCTGGCTGTGGAGGTTCCATTCAGTTGTCGAGGCCAATAGACAACTTCATGGAACTCTGTTTCATTTTAAAGCTGTGGAAACGATAAGTGTGTCTTGCAGTGGAGAAATCTAGTGTGTGTGTCTGTGTGTATCCTGAACTTTTTGCTCTTCACTTCAGTGGATGAGAGTGGCTGGAGTGGTTTAGGTCTGTGGCTGCAGAGCCAGAGGTTTGGAGTTTGATTCCCCCAATGCGCCTCCCTGATAGAGGCTGGGCTTGGATGATCAATGGGGCCTCTTCCAGCTCTGCAGTTTAAAGATTATTATTATTTCGTTGGGTCCTACTGTTTACGGAAAGAGAAAAATTTCTCGTGTATCTGCTTTCTCCTCGTCAAAAAGAATTTTTATATGCCTCATTGGGCTCCCCCTGCCTTGTCCTGGGCCTTCAGCCATAGCACTTTCAAGACAGGCCTGTTTTCCCCCTGGGCAATGTCTCTACTTTTTTATCTTGCAGCCAGGAGATTTGGGCTATTGTAGTCCAACAAAGTAACTTTTCCGAGTTTTGTTCCCATCAGTAACTGGAACAGGCCAGTTAGTCCAAGAGAATTGATTCTGTTGTGCTTGTCTACAGCTTCTCGTGCCCCCACCTTCCTGGATCCTCTTTCTCTCTCTCTTTCCAAGCAAATACCCCATAGCTTGGCTTCTCAACATACCATCTCCCACGAAGCCAAAACAGCAAAAATCACAAGAAATGGATTTTCATTTTTGTTTTTTTCAAACGTTTATTTCCCAAGAAAGACACAAGAACGTTAGCTTCAAGTATAGTTTTTTAACAACACATAATTAATTTCTCTAGTCTCAGATCATACAAGTATAGGAAGGAAATATCATTTTTCACTATCCTGATCGATTTTTAAAAAATAAATAAATATCCACCGTGTTTCCTGACACAAGACTTTGGGTTTCTCTAAGGTCTAGACCAACTATTCCACCGGGCTATGACCTGGCAGGGGAAAAGCCAGGCCTTTTAAATAGGCGAGCCTTCAGATAACAAATGGTTTCACTGTCTCTTCCCCTGTTATTTGGACGCAAGGTACTGAGCACAGTAGTGGGCAAGGGGTGTCCGCCGTTGTCCCGTGTCTGTGGGGGATCGTGTCCCCTCCACCCCATTGAAAAAGACATCCAGCAGGTGAGACCCCCATGTAAAAAACATGTCTCTCTGCCGTTAAAAGACTCCATTGTTCTCCATCTCCTCTCTCGTTGAGGACAGGGTACTAACCCCATCGTGGCTGGAAAAAACACATTTGTTCAAAAAGCTTGTCCCTGTGGCGCAGAAGGCTCTAATCTCAGGGGCTTCTCCATCCTCCTGTGCTGCCTGTTTTTTGACTTGCCTGCGCCCAAGCCCCGTATGTCCCCTGCAACATTTTCACCTGTCACGGACGCAGCCACCCGCCCCCACAGTGACGGGAAAGGACTGTGGAGTCTGGGTGCTGAATCCAATCACCGGCCTCTCCCACTTTTCATTTCTACGGGTCACAGCCAAGAGACCCTTGCCCCTTGCCTTCTAAGCTGTGAAGGAAGAGACACCTTTGGAGCAGAACGTGTTCCCAGAAGTGCTGGGATGGGCCCCACTTCCCTCGCCACCTCTTGGGAGACACAAGGGGTCTCATCCTGGCTCTCTACAGAAGTGGCCATACAAGGCTGTACCATATTTGCCAAGAGCCAGATTCCACTCTTTGTTTTCATAGTACAGTACAGTTCTAAGTGTGAGATCAGCAGAACCTCCCACTGCATTCTCAAGATCTTGCATTACATGGGAAATGAACACACGCCCTCCATTCCCAAGACCCGTCTCCAGTACCCTCATTTCATGCAGGTTTCATCAGAGAGGGCTCAACCTACAACCAGGGAAAGGAAACCTTAGCCCTTCGGAACCCCCCAACATTTGCCATCAAGGGGAGGAAGGGGGGAAGCTCAGCATTTTGGTCACCAAAGGGGAACGGGTGCTCCCTCCCTTCCTCCACGCCAGCATTTGGTCCCGTCAGCAGCAAGATTTCCTTCTGCTGTGTTGTAGTGGTTCTCTTAAAAGTTGTAAACGAGCTAGTCTGTGTGCACCAGACAAGCCCTGCCCGGTTCCTGTCAGAAACAAAGATGCAAACGGAGGATGCAGAAACGCATACGGCACCGATCCAGAGTGAGGAGTGCTGAACACTGGCACGAGAGGCAAGATTTTCACATCCAGTCCTTTTTAAAAAATACCCACTGAATATAAATTGTAAACTAAAAACCCCAAATCTTAAAAAAGCTATTTTTCCTCTTAAAATCTATACAATGCTTTATACAAATCATTATAGAATATATATATATATAAAGACATCTGTACATGTTTTTATCTACACTGAAAGATGAGACTTAAAGGGTTTGCCCATCAGCTGCTCCCCAGGCACCCTCCTGCCCTGGGGCAGAGACCACGAAGAGACCTCACAGCCACTTACGGTCAAGTCAGAAGTGTGAAAAGCTTTAGTAAGGTTTAGGCAAGGCATGGAAGCACAGCCGGAGCAGCCGGGCTTCCGCGGACTCTTAAGACAAGCGGCCCCAGTGACGGCATGGCGGTGCGGTCATCCACGCGGGATCCCTCCCCCAGATGAGATTAGACCTTGTGACTCCACAGAGCGGAAGGGAAGATGATGTACGAGGTGGACCAAATCAGGTAGTAGAGCGAGGCCAGGTAGGAGGCGGCAAAGAAGACCATCAAGACACCTGCAACAGCCCAGACGGAGCGAGATCTTAAACAAAGGAATATTTGACAATCGTACGCACACACAAACACTCACTAGGAAAATAAACACACATGCTATCTTGGAGACTAAACCGGTTTCCATGAGGACACAGGAAATGTCGAGAAGGGATGCTGAGTTTTTATGAGAACTGCCAAGAACAGAAACCGATGCTACTGCAGGTAGTACAGTGTAAAACATCAACAAACCACACAATACAAAGCAACAGTAAAAACAGTGTATGTAGGCCACGCAAGGGAAACTAATGACCCCTATTTAAGTTGTAAACATTACCAGGATATAAAATGTGAGTTGTCATTTCCTACACTCCTTCCTTTGTCTCCGAAATGAGTGTTTCACGTCCCATGCTGTTGCTCAAAGTTTTCCAAACAGCTAGCACACAGGATTCTATTCAGGGTCTGGGGAACCTTGTGCTGGTCCACAGTTCCCATCATAGCCCCAGACAGAAGGGTCAGCTGGGTTGATAGGAGAGACAGTCAACCCCACCTGAACGGCGCTAGGTTGAGGGGGGCTGCGTTAGCCTCGGCTGCATTTGATGTTCTCGCAGCCTCCTCTGCTCTCTTACTGTTTGCTGTCTGCCCGCCAGGAGGCGGCTGTGAGCCACTTCCTTGACCAAACAGCCTCAGTGGGCGAGAGCAGGGAGCGTGGCAGCCTAGCGTCCAAAGCCCAGCTCCCCTGCTGAGTGGGAATCAAACAGCTGACATTCAATGGGCAGTCCAGAGTCCACATGACTCTCCCAGTTTGCGTTTCTCTCTGTCTCAGGGGTTAGCAAAGTGCACCCTCTGGACTTGAGAAATAGCACTAACCCCACTGATCTAAACAAACAAACAAACAAAACCGTAAACATTTCCAAGCCCAGCAATTCATCCATGGAAGATAACACAAACTGCTGTGGAGACCACTGAGCCAGTCCAAAGGCTGCCTGAATCCTTACAAAACCACACAGACATTTACTTTCTTTTTTTAAAAGTAATGTTCTCGCAAGCCCAAGTAGGGGAAGCATGGTGGCCCTTCTTCATTTACAGCCGCCTTTCCCCACATTGCCAGCCCCCTCCCGGAGTGTCTTGGTCTACGATCCCCACCTTCCGACCACCCAGTTCTGTGCCGGCCCCCGGGCCCTTTCCGCACTCACCTCCGGCGTAGACCACCTTCTTCCACAACTGAGACTCCAGCACTTTATCATGAGGGTAGAAGCCCTGATCCACCATGAAAAGGATCATGACCATGGCGACCACACGCAACACCAGAAGGTTGCCCCCCGTTAAGAGGTAGGTGGCCGCCAGCACGGAAGCCCCGTACGGGCATGGAAGCCCCCGGTACATGAAGGGGACTCCTGTGGAGCAGAAAGAGAGAGAGAAAGAGAGAAGGATGATACTTGAGTGGCTCCAGAAAAAGAATTGAGGGAGGTGAAGGAACGGATCTCAAAAACTGCAGAAGTGGAGACATTCAAACAGGATGGGGCTTGAAGGAGGATCGGGGAAGTGCTCCCGAGTTTTGGCAGAGGGGGCCAGCATGGAAGAATCCAGAGCCCTTCTTAGCTGTCCCCCAAGTGGGTGTAAGCTTTGCCCCTTCACACTGTCTCCACTCCCTTCCTCCTGACACCGTCCTCTGATGACTTCCCCAATTTTGTCTGGGTCTCTCGTCCCCGCCCCTTTTTCATTCTAGAAGACAAAAAATGCCTCTCAGACAGATTAGTTCCTGAGGGCAGGAGCTTTTGGCAAGACTTTGCTTTAGGCTAAATACTGTACTTTTTAGCCTTGGGCCCCACCCGCTACTGGAGTGCAACCACTGAGAACCGCCTTGCCTTGGAATTAATAGGTCACTCAGAGGTGCCCTACTTTAGCCCTAGAGGGAACAAGGACATACTTTCATTAGTGCAATTAATTTTTCCCCACTGAAACAATTGTTTCTGCTCAATCAGAGGCTGAAACACCTCTACTTTTTGGCAACAATGGTTGTTTAAAAAAAAAAAACCTCTTAAAGCCAAAGGCAAATTCCAGAATTGCAGCCCCACGCGGTCGTGTTGAACCAGCGTCTCTCTGAACCCTGGCAATGATCCTGAGGAACTCACCACTGGAAAAGAAACAGAGGCGGGTGAAGACGGCCATGACGTACACGATCACCAGAAGCCCATCGAGGACCCCCCGGGCTTGGAGGAGCAAGGCGGTGGCCAGGCCAAAGGAGGTGAAGTCAGCAAAGTCGTCCAGCTTAGCTCCTGGAAAGCCCGACAAAGACTCTCGTGAGGCCAGGCAGGCGGAGGGGGGAGCCCTAGGGAGGGAGGCCCTGCAAGACGGGAGCCAGCATCACCCTGGGAGGGGACTTCTTCTGGACTACACCTTCCAGAATCCCCCAGCTAGGAGCATCCGGAGGATCCTGGGAGTTCTAGTCCACAAGAAGCAACTCTTCCCAGCTGTTGGAAAGCTCCTGAGCAGCTAGCGACTGGGGAGTAAGTCCTGACCACTGGATGGTGGCCGTTTGGCGCTGTTAAGGCAGAAGACAGGAGTGGGTCTTGATGTGAGAGACGGTGGAGTGTAGTCACTAAGAGTGCTGGATTGGGACACAGGAAATCCAGGATTGCAGTCATCCTCCCCCCATTCTTCTGAGCCATAAAACTCTCAGGGTGACTGGGGCCACATGGTGCCAGGCCATCCTTGTGGGGTTGCTGTGACCCTCGAGGGAAGAGGGGCGGCGCCACTGACCCCGCCTTGAGCTCACAGGGGCAAAAAGGGAGGGTTGCCAGGGGAGGCCTGCCCTTCATTTCCCCCTTGCTCTGTTACTTTTGAAGGGCAGCCTCCTGATGCCCTCACCCCCATTGCAAGGAAGCACCTTTATGGGGCATTTCCAATTTCCCGGCGGTATCCTTAACAACGCAAGTGGACAGAGCGCCTCTCAAGAGTGCCTCTGCTTCTGGGGGGGGGGAAGGGAGGTCTGCTCGGCCTCTTCGGCCACGAAGAGAGGCCACAAAGGGCAACCACACGCAAAAGCTGGACTCACCCAGGGCAGAGCAGGCGTTGAGGTGCCTGGCAACGGCTCCGTCGGCGAGGTCCAGCAAGAACCCACTCAGGACCAGCCAGCAGGCATAATGGTAGTGCCTTTGCAGCCAGAGAGACAAAAAGAAAACCCATGAACCACCAGGGTGGCCCTTCGGAGAGGCCCCCCTGTGCAGGGCCAACATTGCTTCCCAAGAGGTCCCTCCTGTAACGTGCCTGGCACTAGCTTGGAGGAGGACTCCCCCCCCCGCCCCCCAGCCCCAAGAGGTTTGCCAAGGGCTCTAGAAAGACGCCCGAAGCTCAGGAAGCACTGGAGAGGTTGATGGATTCCCAACTCCCAGAAGCAAAATGAGGAAACAGAAAGAAAAAGATAAAAAAATGAGAGCAAGGCGCCCCTCCCTCCCTCCCTCCCTCCCTGCACAGCGGCCCACGGGCCTCCGAGGTGTCCTGCTGGGTTCTCTTAAGAGAGGCCAACTTTCTCCCGAGCCAGCAGTTCCTACCCATTCAGGCTGCAGAGGACGGAGGAGAGGCCCACCACAAGGTTGGCGATTGAGATCAGGTTGGCCACGTTCTTCCGCGTGAACTCCACCACCTGGGCCCGCCCGGCCTGCTCGCTGAGGAAAAGCTGCTTGGTATAGTGATATATACCTGGAGGGCAGAGGGCAGAGAAAGGGTGTGAGGACAAGCGAGGTCGCTGGGCTGCTGTGTTTTCCTGGGCCAAGCGGAAAAGCTGTTTAAGGCAGAGCGTCCAGAAAAAAAAAAAGGAGGCCGGCCAGCGGTGGATTAGGGTGGCCGCGTTAATTCCACCCCCTGCCATCTGCAAATCCCGTAAAGGGATGGTTGGAAAGTCGGTAAAGAAAGTGCAAGCTAATTGCGGAGGGTCTCTCATTACGTGAGCAGCCTGGCTTGAGAGGAGAGCCTTGTCCGTTTCCGGAGAAGGATGAGGGCTGCCTCGCTGGTCTTGACCAGAGCCAAGAGTCTGTCCGTCGCCTGGCCGTTTCAGAAGTTGCCTTTAAAGTCCGCTCAGAACGAAGGCAAGGTTTGGGCAAGGAAGCTTTCCTGGAGATCCGGGAAGCCTGGGTGTGGTTTCTTTAAAGTCTCCCGACACCCCCATTTTGACTTCCTTGAGCCTCTGGGCTGCTCAGGCTACCTCTGTGGCTCTGTCCTGCCCGGCCAGGGATACCCCAGCAAAGCCGAGCATGTTTCGGGCGGCCTTCATGCTTTGTCGGATTGGTTTAAAGAAAGATACGCCACTTCCCAAAAAGCCTTCTTAGGCAGGCCGGGGATTATCCCGTCTCCTGGCTTCAGGCAACTTCTCAGCCACGTTCATTATAATCATATAATAATAATCTCAGAACCGCGGGGCTGGAAGGGACCGTCTGGAGTGGGGAATCGAACTCCCAACCTCAGTGGCCTAAACCACCGAGTTCACCAGCAGTTCACCTAGTCCTTTGATCGGCAAGGACTGTAGTCTCAGCAAAATCTCGCTTTCCAGCTTTTTTTGAGAGAAACCTTCCCCAGTTCACCCTCTATAACAGCAGGATAGGTTTACAGAAACAAGCCACGGTGTGAGTCCACAAGCCACCCCCCCCTCAGAGAGGCAGGATTTCCTTGAGCAAACCACGTTTGCACACTGAGCCAGAAGACCCCAAGGTAGCCAAGACGCAGGGCCACGTGCAACGTTACAGCTGTACTAGTGCTTCTTCCCTCCCTTAGCATTCACCGAGCCTCCCGCCATGGCCACCCACCAGAGTTTCATACATGCAAAAATAGAAATATTTCTCATTTTTATATACATAAAAAAGCATCTCCAGGTAAACGATGCTTCTCCTCCATCCCTTACCCCGACATCCCCTCTAGAGTTTTACAATTTCTTGTTATGATATATTTATATATAGGCTCCCACCCAACCAACCCATCCATGTCGCTGTTCGGTTAAAGAAACGACTAACACCCTCCCAGCTCGTCCAGTCTAACCCTCTTCATTTATTTAATCCACCCCAGAAAAAAAAGGGCTACTCTGTAGAGAAAGTGTGAGAAGGGACATATCCTACTAGTGTGTTTTGCACCCTGCCCTGGGCGTATTTCCGAATCCCGGAAAGGTCATGAGATCCTTCATCTGAAAGAAAACAGCAGATCAGAGCAAAACAACATCCAAAAAAAGAAATTTAAAAAAACCCTGATATCAAAATTGAGGAAAATTAAGATATATTCCACAAAGCCCCCCATCAGTGTGAAACCTTTTAATCTCTGGCCCAGTTCCCCTCCCTATCCCATAAGCTCCCCTCCCCATCCCCACCGGCTACTGCGAGCAGGGAAGGAGACCCTCAAGACGATCCCCCCATTTCGGTTCCAACCCTTGCTGGGGGTGGGTCAACTCAGTCGAGACCCCCTTGCCCCGTTTGGCTGGTACATCCCAGGCTCAGGAATTTGTGTCCGTTATTTGGGGAAGAAACAGCTTGGTTGTCTTAGACCTTTAATGCTTTGCTTAAAAAAAAAAAGTAAGGCTTAAAAGAAGAGTCGGGAACCTCCAGCCTTGGAGCTGAATCTAGCCCTCTCAGGTCCGTCCCCCCCCGGTTGGGAGGATTTCCAACCTCCACCTTTCCCTTGGGTGAAAGGCTCCGTTTGGGCAATTAGAACTTCTAGGTGGAAACGGGCTGACCTTTTCTGAGCCCCCTTTGGCCCACCCACCCACTGAGGGAGGGTAGCGTTCCCCACCAAGCACATTGCTGAAGCGGAATCCGATCCGGGGGCTGAAGGAGGTTCCCCACCCTTGTCTTAAAACCAGGGTTGGAAAACAACAACAACAACCATCAGAAACAGGTTCACAAGAGCAGAAGGGCCAAACCTGGGATGTGCCTTTTCTGGAACCTTGCCTGAAAGGGGATTCCAGCAAAGTGGATTCCCGGCAGAGAGAAGAGGCCTTGCATTGCGATTCCCTTTCCTTCCTGAACCACCTCTGGTGGGTGACCCAGAAGGAGGGAAGCAGACAAGCGGGAGGAGGAGAGCACGGAGGGCCGTGGCGAATGGAAAGCAGCCTCGTCTGGACTGTCTCGATGAAACGCTGAGTCGGGAGCAGGGCCACCGTAGCCCTTCTCCGGAAGCCCCTTCTAAGTGAGACGCCGGGATCCGTGGATCGCATCAGCCACGGTGGCCGAGCAAAGCTCCTCCCTCCCTCCCTGACCGACCCCTGGCGTGCTCTCGAAGGGCAAAGGGCTGATCCCAGCCCGGGGTTTCGTCGCTCTCCTTTTAAAACAGCTCACGCAACGACGCGGGCTGTGGCATCGCCTGCCTTCCGTCCCACGGACCAAAACTAAATCCTCCCACTGCAGAGCTGCTGAGCTCTGGCCACGCTATCCCTGTGTCTTTCTCCCACCATCTTCTGCCTCCAGAGCTGACTTTGCAAGCTGAGGACTCCCAAGCAGCCCCAAAAGGCGGTCACTGCTCGCCCAGCCCCTCTGCCCTGCAAGGGGCAAGCAGGCAGTGCCCTTTCTTTGAGAATGGCTGTCCCTTAAGGGCAGACAGCGGCCCCTTTCATCTTCCTCTGCTTTGCTGCAACTCAAGATCAAACTCCTTCCCTCTGGTTCTTGTATATCTGGAAATGGAAACCCATGCTGGGGACACAGACCGGATCTTTTCTCCCACTGAAAGGGTCTTTTCTCCCCCCCCCCCCCCGCCTCCATGCATGTAATGAATCACAATTAATATAGACAGCAATATACATTCTTTTAACTGCAGACAGTTTCCTTTTAAAAAATGCAGTCAAAGAGGCAGATGGGGGACCCTCCATTGGGCCCAAAAATGGCTGTTCAGGATGGGAGTCATGTTAGAATGGCAAACACTGCCCCAAAGCCCAGGATCCGAGGTGTGCCGTTCAAGAGCCCAGGACGAGAGACGCTCCCGGCCCTTGACCTGGCATTAAAAAGAAAAAACCCCACCAGGTTCCATTTCTGTCACACATAGACCTCCAACCTGCTGCCCCCTAAAAGTTCAAGATTCGTTCATCCAGGAAATCTCTGTGGAAGAACCAGGGAGTCAAAATCTCCTTCGGCGCAAACCACTCTCGCTTGGGGTGGTTGTTTGCAAAGCAAGGGATGCTCCCTTCGCCAGCCTGAAAGCGTTTTTTGACATCTCAGGGTCATCCTTCTCTCTCTCCCCCCCCCCACCAACAGAGCTGTATAGGGATGTATAGGGGTGTGGGGGGGGGTAGAGAAGCCTTTCCCCTGCCCAGTCCTCCCCAGGCAGAGAGATGAGGTGGCGGCTGCGGGTCAGAGAGAAAGCAGGAAGGGCAGTGTGTGTGTGTGTGTGGGGGGGTCTGAGCCCCCAAAGGACTGGGTTCTGGGGGTTCAAGGAAAGGAATGGAGATGGGACAAACAAAAGGAGGGACCAGAGGGTGAGGGGTGGGAGGGTTTATTCTAGAAGGCTTTCCCCCAAGCTCTCCTGGGCACGTATATAAAAGAAGACGGCAGCAAAGAAATCCAGCACAGCCGAAAGCCAGCTGAAAGCTGAGCGATCACCCTTGGCAATAGTCAAAGAGACACCACGCTGCTGGATTAGAGATCAGCAGAACCTGGCCTCCTGAACTAGGGGGTGGCCCTGCGGCCACGTTGCTTCCCCCCCTCCCCCAGCTTCGTCTGTGGACCACCACTTTGTGAGCCTCTCGGAAGCAAGGGAGCTGGTTTTAAATCAACCCTTCGGAAGATCCCGTGATCTCCTTTGATCTACGTAAGGAAAATGGTGTGAGCTGGCACAAACCTACCAGAGCTGGGGGAGATTATGCATCTGGACTGCAGATCCCAGGAGATAGTCCAAAAGGAGAGGAACTTTCCGAAGCGCTCTGCTAAACTTGGCAGAACCCTAAGGCAGGGGAAGCGTTGAGCGCCAAAGGAGGCCTGATCCTATGCCAAGGGCCGGCTTTGGAAAAGGAGAAGGGGACGACAGAGGACGAGATGGTTGGACAGGGTCATCGAAGCGACCAACATGAATCTGACCAAGCTCCGGGAGGCTGTGGAAGACAAGGAGGGCCTGGCGTGCTCTGGACCAAGGGGTCACGAAGAGTCAAGAGTCGGACACGACTAAACAACAACAAACCCACTCACAGCCTCGCCCACCTCCCTGTGCTACTTCCTGGATCAGAGCAAAGAACCGGCTGGCCGAGGGGCACGCAGGAGCCCTGTCGAAATAGCTTCATGCTGTGTGAAATTCTGAGGATGCTCTTAAGAGGGAGCGAGCAGCCAAAAGTTGCAGAGCGGAAACACACAGCTCCGCTGTGATGACAGAAGAGGACTAACTCCGACGGGCTCGGCTACGCTGGCAACCTGAGGAGGCAGTTGGAGCGCCTTGCAGAGCGGGAGAGGGGGAGGAGAAAACTCAGGCATCGGGCCAGCGGGCATCCCCGCCCACCCTCAGCATACAACACGGGGACAAGGTCTGATGGGGAAATCAAGTCGACCTCCCAGGCTGAGTGGCAAAACCAGGATTGGCGAATCGTTTTTCTGAGGCGTGATGGTATAGCAGTAGCGTAGTTCCCACGTATAGAAACTACATGTCCGAGCGCACTGTAAACTCTGGCAGAGCCATTCAGATCAACCAGAAAAACATCCATGCCATTAGTTTTAAAACAACCACAATGACAAACGACAACAGCCGCGCCTGACCAGGCAAGTCCCAATGGGACGCTCCCACCTTTTGAGCTCCCTAATATTATATATCTATAGCCAGGGACGAGAGCAGGAGAGCCCTGACAGGCAGCTGTTTGAGAAGCTTCTCTCCTGCAAGCAGTGGCTTTAGCCTATAGGACTGATTGGCAATTAGCAAGTTAAAAAAAAAAATCACTGGGATCCCCATCTGGTCAGATTGTTCATAAGCTCGGAAGGACCAATCATGCCCAGGGTCAAAAAGCTCCAAGGAAAACCTTCGAGAACACAGCGGGGGTCGGGAAGAGGGGGTGGTGGTGGTGGTGGAACCAGAGAGGGTAAGAGACAGCAAAAGGGTTTATTCTCAACCTCTCTCCCCCCCCACCCCACACTGGCTGAGGGAACCCCATGAAAGAGTGACCTCCAAACCATTCCATTCTCAACAGGCCTGGCCAACTCGCCCCACCCCACCCCGGGCCGCCTGCTTTCAGAGGAAAGACACACACTGGCTGAGCTCCAGCCTGTGAGGAAACCCCATGAAAGAGTGACCTCCAAACCACCCCATTCTCAACAGGCCTGGCCAACTTGGCCGTGGCTTCCTTGAGGGAGTCAGCCCATCTCACATTTCCTCTTCCTCTTCTCCTGTTGCCTTCCCCTTTCCCCAGCATTACATTTCCTACTGGTTCCCACAGGATGTTGCCTTTCTGAAACATCCCGGCATCTTTTTTTTTTAAAGCCTTCTCTGTCCCTGTTTTATCTAAAGTTCTGGGATAAAGCACCTGGCTTCCCAGCCTCTGGGCGCCTCTCAGCAGTGTCAAGGGGTCTGTGGGGGAAGATGGCCTTTGGGGGTTACATTTTAATGCAACCCTCACACTCCTCCCTAAAAGTGGTCAGTGCTGTGGGTTTTGGGGGGCGCAGCCCCTCAAAGTCCAAAGAAACCTAGAAGAATGGCTTCCCAGACCCTTGGGAAGAGCCCACCCCCATCGATTGGTACATCTTGCCCACGGATCCCTTGGCAGGAGCCGGAGTTTGCCAAGGTGCTACCGCCACAAGGGAGAAAAATGGATAGAAGCTGATTTCTATCTTTTTTAGGGTAGTTGTTTCCCCACCTGGATTAAAGCTCCCAGAAGCCTCCGCCCTCCACGCGTTGTGCTGGCTGGGACCTCTGGGAGTGGTAGTCCAAGAACACCTGGACACCCCAGGTCGGGAAGCGCTGTTCTAACTGAGGAAGTACGATGTTGGGCAGGACGGGGCACAGCGTCAGGCTCTTGGCTTCTTGGGAGCAAAACTCAGGAAGTCTCAGATACACTATCCTGTTATTTTTTGGGGGGAGGGGGGCAAAGAGTGTTTATATATACCTTTCTTTCTCTTTCTTTCCAGGGAGCTCGGCCACCCCCCTCACCTCCAGGCCACCCTCAAGGCTGGCAAGACCTTTGGGTAGGAGGAATGCCCTCCGATCGTCGGTGCCGCCAGCATTTCCCACTAGCCTCTGGACCGCCGTTGCCTGCCAAACTGTTTCTTGACACCCTGATTATGTGTTTATATCTGCCGGCCTGATAGCAAGCCATGGCTCGGACTCTGACCCACCAAAGCTCTTGGCGCCGGAAGCCTCTCTCCCGGGAGGATCTTCGTAGGAGTCCGTTCTGAAAGAAGACCTCCTTTGTTCAACAGCACACGTTCCTAGGTAAGACGCCCGCACTAGACCCGAGTTCTGTGTTGTAAGTTGTGTGGGGGTTTTGTTTTGTTTTTTAATCCTTTTGCTGTGAGAAAGCCCCTTTGGCCTCTGCCTGCCCTCGCTGGTTCCCAAGAATGAGTGGGGAGTTGGGGAGAGTGGGGAGGAAAGGAGAGGGGGAGCAGGTTCATTTCCACCCAGAGGAAAAGGAGAGACCGAGAGAGAGAGAGAGAGAGAGAGAGAGAGAGAGAGAGGCCCAGAGGAAGGGCAGCTGAGCTGTTCTCGAGACTCACCAGAGGGAGGCGAAACCATCCACATCTTGGCTGGATGTCAGCTGGACACTTCAGACACTTCTGTAGCTGAAAGGAGAGAGAGAGAGGAAGGAGATGGTCATTGGGAGCTTTTTTCAGTTGGGCAGCTTTTCCAGTTTGTGTTTCTAGCAGCTGAACCCAGGAAGGGGGGGGGGCGCAACGGGTGGGCCCTGTAGGTGGTGAAGCCATGAGAGAGAGAGAGACCTCCAGCCCCCCTGCCTTGGCAAAGGAGCAGTAAAGCACAGCCAGGAAAAGCATGGGGTTGGCATGCATGAAAAAACTTTCAACTGCCTGAGATGTTTTCATCGTTTAGGGAGAAGGAAAAAAAATTTTTTTCCCTGTGTAGGAAAGTAACAGACATTTGTAAATGAGTAACAGAGAAAGCGTATGGGGAGATCTTTCTCTTTCTGTTTCTTATAATGCCAGAGCCAAACAGAGGCGGGAAATTCACCACCCAAGAAAGGTAGAAAAGCCTCTTCCTGCGCCCCAGAGAATAAACCCACGGGACTCCCTTCCACAAGAGGTGGCCGTGGGGAAGACAGCTTTTGGGGGCCAGGGAACCCAGAGGACTCGGTTGGGTTCTTGGGAAGAAAGGGGGGCGGGGGGTCCAAAACCCATTGCTGGGGGCACGACACCCTTACAAGCCACCAAAAGGCCACCGAAAGAGGCAATGCTTTCACCTTCTTCATCACCCTTGGGTGATTCTAAACGCAGGAGGAGGCTGTGTTGGTTTGATGGGTGGAGCAGCCCGCCCCCATCCTCGCCAGTAAAAAACCACCAACAGAGGGAACCCGTGAGCTCAGCCCGTAGAAAGTGGAAGGTCACCAGAGATGCAGGTGGTCCTCCGTGCTAGAGCATCTATCTCTCCCCCCCCTCTGTTTTTTTTCTCAAGTGACCCTTAATTCGCTGCCCTTTGACTTTGTTAGAGGGCTTCATCAGCAGGTTTGGGGTTCCTTCTCCCTGCACTGCCTCCAGAAAGTTTTCCTGAAGAAACACAAACCTAAATCCATGTTTCCAGAGTGGTTTCTCCCCTTTCGCAGCCCCACGTGCAGGACTAGCCCACGGCACTGTCCCAGCGTACGTGCCCTACGCCCACAGGCGGGACCCAGGTTCTTCCATCTCTTCTCAGGGCTCCCCCCCCCTCGGAGCAGTTCTGTGCTCCCTGTCCCGCTCCACGCTCCTTCTGCTGGGGGTTTGGCCCCTGGCCTTTGCCCTTGGCAGCCTGTCTGGTCTCTGCAAAGACGCCGGCCACTGGGTGCAGCCCGCCCGGAGGGGCCTCCTTGGTTCAGCACAAACAGGAGCAGGGACGGCTTTTAGCCACTGCAAGGGGCCTCCTGGTTTAGGAAAGGGCACCCCCCCCCCCAGGGAAGAGTGTGTGTGTGTAGCGTCCCGAACATCCTGTCCTATGGGCAGAGATTAGCCAGGGGCTCTGTTTGGACAGATCTGTTCCTCCTCCTGCTTGTGGCATGCAAACAAACGTGCCGCGCTCCAGACCCGTCTCTCCCGAGGCAGCTACCCTACCCAGCCGCAACACATGTGTGACATTGCCTCCTTGATAAGAGGCAGGCGGCCGACCCTGGCTGAGCCACGGGGCCACGGGCGAGCGTGCTTCTCAAATCCGGGCCGTGGGATGTGGCTTGCTGCAGCTCAGCCGTTCACCCCAGCTGGCCTCGCAGACTGCCCCAGCCTGCTTTTCTGCTTTGTGCCAGCCTCACCACTCCTGGATTGGGGCTGCTGGGCTGCTCCCCAGACAAAGTGGGGAGTGAAGCCCCTCCTTGGCTCAGCTGCTCAGAACTGATCCCGAGGTCGTTCGGCCACCGCCAGAATCCCTTCTTCCGGAGAACATAGCGTGTACTCAGGCACGATAGGCAGTGTCGTTTGTGACACCAGATACCAGCTTCAGTGACTGCCCCCCTCACACCAACCCTGTGAGGCAGGCCAGGCTGAGGGAAAGAAAGGAGGGAGCGGCCCCTAAAGCTCCCTGTTTCCACCAGGGTCCCGAGTCTTGGTCCAGCCCCCTCAGCACCCTGCTTCTTTGGGAATGATGGGAATTGTAGTCCAGCCTCGCTGGAGAAGTCACTGGATGAGTGGCAGTGGCGGTGTGTGTGTGTGTGTGAGGGAGACTACATGCATGGATCTAGGTGGGGTGTCTATTAGATATTTGTCCGGGCGGATCTTGTGCCATGTCTTGTGTATGTGAGTCACCGACTGGTATTAGTTCTTGTGCCATGTCTTGTGTATGTGAGTCACTGACTGGTATTAGCTAGACATTTATAATTTATTTATTTATTTATTGGATTTTACCCCGCCCCTTTAGACCATGTCTACTTGGGGTGGCTATAAGGAGGAGAATCTATTTATGCCCTGCCGCCTTCCTCCTGTTGGCTTTCTCACAGCAACCCTGCCGAGGTAGCAGGGGCTGAGAGAGACAGCAAGAGAATGGCTGGCCTACTTTCCTGTCTAGTCAGTTCCCTAGCCTAGTGAGCTTCCTGGCCCAGCCCAACATCCTGATCCAGGCCCTTGGCTTTGGAGCCACCTGTCCACCCACCCATCCATCCATCCATGCTCTCCCCCCCTCCTCTCTAGGGTACCAAAGTCCTGCCTGATGTTTCCTCCTGTACCGCCTGAGTTTCTTTTGCCTTTGGGGGGAAAAAAATAGTTCTCGGCACGCAATTATGAAAACGCTGATGAAATAACAAAGGTTTTCATTGGTTAATAACATGATTTGTTAAAAATCCATTAGAAACACCTAATTTAAAAAAAAAGATTACCCCAAAGAAAAACAGAAAGAAAGGGGCCAGGGAGTCAGTCGAAAGAGCAGCACCAGCGAGGCTTGGCCTCCGCTCTGACCCGGCCTGCCTGCTGGAATCAAAGGGCCCTTCTTTGCCTGGCAGTGCCTGCCTGGGCATCCGAGGGGGAGCCTCCCCGCCGCCAGCGCCTGCCTGGCCTGCCAAGGAGGGGGGGGAGGGCACTCTGCGGGGGGGGGGGGGCCAAGGCCG